CACACGCGCGTGTGGTGAGGAAATAGAAACGTCAAAAAGCCTCAACCCCCTGCTGGTTTCGGGGCTTTGGGGCGATGGAATGTTAGCCTGATCGCGACGCCTGGCCAGCACGTTCGGAGCGCGTTCGGAGCCGCCGGATTTTAGGGTCTCCGGGCGGTTGAAAGCTGTCTCGGTCGCGACACCTGATAGACGGCTCGGAACGACTCGGACCCAGCACCATGAAGACAGACGCGGGCCGCTTTCCGCGACTCGAGTTTGTGTGAGAGGCGCAGCACTTCGGCAACCTGAGGCTAGCAGGCGCAGCACGTTGTTGCATTGGTGATCAGACTTTGCGACGGGCGCAACACTTTGGCAGGTGGCCACTTTTGCACACTCATGCGCAGATTGCATAGCGCGGCACTTGGCCAACACAGGCACAGATGCGTCGGATAGATAGTGGGATAGATGCATGTATAGCTAGACAGATAGACAGACAGACAGACAGACAGACAGACAGACAGACAGATAGATGGAGAAATAAATAGATAGATAGATAGATAAATAAATAGATAGCTAGCTAGCTAGATAGTTAGATAGAGAGATAGAAAGATAAATAGACAGATAGAAAGATAGATAGTTCAATAGCTAGATAGATAGCTAGATAGATAACTAGCTAGATCGGTAGAAAGATAATAGATGGACAGAGGAAATATGGATGTATGGATGGATGGATGGATGGATGGATGGATGGATGGATGGACGGACGGACGGATGGGATAGAAACATATATACATAGATACATAGATAGCTACAGAGAGAGAGAGAGAGAGAGAGAGAGATATATATATATATATAGATAGCTAGATGGGTAGGTAGATGGGAGAGAGAGAGAGAGAGAGACATGAACAGTTTGCTGGATGGATAGATAGACAGATAGATAGATAAGTGGATAGGTATATAGGTAGATAGGTATATAGGTAGATAAGTAGACAGGTAGATAGGCAGATAGGTCCGCAGATGGATGGATAGCTTGATAGCCAGAAAAAATCAAAAAAAAATAAAAATAAAAATAAAAAAAAGGAGAAGAGAGAGAGAGAGAGAGAGTTAGAAAGCGAGATTCAGCTTTAAACAAAAAGGAAGATAGACACACAGGAACCAAAAAACTAGACAGAAAAACATGTTGCGCCCGCCCTCCTGCCCACCCTCTCGCCCGCCCGCGCCAGGCGTAAAAGAAGGGAAGAGAAAGAGAAAGAGAAAGCCGAAGAAAGAGAAAGAAGAAGACAAACAAAAAAGGCAAAGAGAAAGAGAAAGAAAAGTTAAGGATAATGAGAAAGAACAGATACTGTAGAAGAGAGAGAAACAGAGAAAGAGACAAAGAGGAACGAAAAGGAAAAGGAGAAAGATAAACAGAAAGGTAAAAGACAAAGAAACAGAGAAAAGAAAGGAGGAGAAAGATAAAATTCGAATTAGAACCAAAAGAAAGGAAGAACAAATGCAAACAAAAATGATGGCTATAGTGTTTGTTCTAAAAATGTCCGGCTTCGCCGCTACCGGTATAGGTGGAAGTGGGGTGGTTTAGGTTAAGTTCAGGGTTGGCCCGTATAGGTTTAGGTGATTCAAGATGCAGGTTCGGGGTCACAAGTGGCGGAAGTTTGGTGTAGGGTAGGCTTGACGCTCACAAGTGCGGCAGCGAGAGTTGAGGCCGTGGCGCTTGGAATCGATTCTCGGGCTGGCATAAACAGCTGCTACGAGGATTCTGGGGGAGACTTTTGTTTGGAGCAGAATTGGGATGGAGTTTGGGCTTGGAGTTGGAGTTTGATTAGCGTGGGCTGACAGTAGCATGTATGCTTTGCCTTTGGGTCAGTTCCGGGCGGAGTTTGGAGTGCTGCTCCAAATTGAAAGCTCGCCAGATTTAGGGTTGGATTAGGGATGTAGTTGCATTTAGGGCCATTTTGGGCTGAGCTAGACTAGTCCAGGGCTGTTGGGTTTAGGGATTTGTGCGGTTGAGTGGTTTGGCTTGCGATGGTTTGGCCCGGGGGCCTAGGGTTTCAGTATTTGGGGTTTAGCCTTTGAATCAGATAGAGCTCTAAGTCAGGCGTGCACTCGCCGGGTGGAAAATAGGTGGCACTCGAGCCAGCAAAAGGAACCGCCGTAGAACATCACAGCGGCTTGCGACTCTACAAGTTCTGCCATTGCAATATGCTCCAGTCTCTTCAACATGTCCCAAGCTTAAAAGCTCGAAGAAGCAACATGCTGCATTCCATTGGCAGTCCCAGCGTCTTGCTTCGGCCCGTCGCTGTGAAGGTCTAGCAGATAGGCTACACCTCATGCCACGCCGGCATTGTTTGCAAATGCAGCTGCAGTCAAAGGACGGCATGGTTGACAATGGATTCACCAGCAGTGTGTTGCTGAACTTGCTGCACACAACAAAAAGAAAAAAACGTGGGAAGTCACTCGGAGTGCCAGATAAGTCACGATCACCCAAGAATCCCCAGCGATGAAGAAGCTCTAGCAAAAGCAT